CGTCATATGAAAGTGACAGTGATGTCTTAGTTAGCAGAACTATACATAAATATTTCACTCGGTTACGGATGTCATTTTTCACGTTCGGAAAATATATCTTTCTATATGTTGCACATTTTGCAAAGGGGTTTCACCATAAAGAACTTCAAGCTTCTAACATCTAAGGCTGATGTTCTTATCACAGCATATTGTACGGCAGACATACTAGTTCTAATACTGGGGTGACTGCAATGGCTAGAAATTCACACCGAGTTTAATTCGAATCAGATATTGTGTATATAATATTAACGTGTGTATCCAGGGACAGAGAGAGTCGGTTAACTAATGGGTTCAAAGAAAGGCACTGTGTTCATTTGAAACCTTGCGAGTAGAGAACGTAAGGAATAGACGCCTCAACAAGTCTATTTACTGCCACACAAAGCGAATAACACAACGACGTCACAAGTGACTGATCTCAGCGTCACTCTTCTTTTCTCATATCTCTCTGACAAGTGCTGCGCTCTATTCATGTTCCTAGATATCCTCGCGGCCATTTCTTTAATTTTCCGCTCTGTAACGTCGTTATGCAAGGTTCAACCGGCATCCACTGCCTCGCGTCGTGAGACCTGCTCGGATCCGTTTAGTTTTCCTTTCGTCTCAAATAATTTCTGTTATTAAATAGAGTGTACGATACGTTCTCATGCACAAGTACCAAGAAGGATGTGGCCGAAACGGGGGCGCAATTCTGTGATTCTTTCCCACTCCCTAAAACAGTAATTCCTTGAAAATGTTGCTTTAAGCAACTGCATGGATGAATTTATGCATTGGTGAACGACTGAATATGTACAAGAATGGAGGAAATAATAAGAAATAAACGATGCGAGAGCCGGTCATTATAGCCGAGCGGTCTAAGGTATGTACTGTCTTCGCTCGCTTGGAAACCGGGATCGTGGGTTCGAATCCCACTCAGGGCATGGATGTTTAGTTTGTGTGTGTGCGTTTTTCTGTGTTTGTGTACAGGTAGAGGCCTTGCGACGAGCTGATCACCCGCCCAAGGAGTCCTGCCGAATGTGTAAGATCTAGAGAAACCGAAGTGAACGGAGAAGTTCATGGAGGTAGGCCTAGGCCCACTGGGGCTGTAGTGCCAAGGGAAAAAAAATAAAACGATGCGAGAACGGAAGAATGGATGAATGGATTGGACTGGAGAAATGAACGGATGTAATGTTGGACTCATGGCTGGACTGATGGGCATGTGGGTGATAAAATAATGTAATTGTGAATGGACTTGTGGTTGCAGGGATGGATGCAGTAATGTACTCGGTGCTGGTTGGACGGAATGGATGGGCGAGCGAGTAGCTTGATGCAAGAATGGATTGATGAACGGACCGATGAGTGAATGCGAATTGATGGGTGCAGTAACGGATGGGTAGAATGACAGATGGAAGAACAGATTAACACAAGAGTGGACTGATGTATGGATTCAGGGGCGAATTGATAATGTCACATATTACTGACTACGATGTATACATGGGGTTTGGATTGATAATCGGAGTTATTGAACATTTATAACTAGTAACTACAAATAACTATAACACACACTGTCTTTTTAGTGTGTTATAGTTTCATTTGTCGTTGCTTGGCAGCGGCTTTAATAATTGGGATCCTATGTAAGATTTGAGGCTTTCACGGCGGTGACTATGAAGAAAGCAGTCTTTTGGGATTTGACACCGTGTATAAGTGGTGTTAACCGACGTTTCGGAGGAACGTATCGCCTCCATCTTCAGGGTAGAAGAAAATATAAGAATTCTGCACGCTTGCAGAATTCTTATATTTTCTTCTACCCTGAAGATGGAGGCGATATGTTCCTCCGAAACGTCGGTTAACACCACTTATACACGGTGCCAAATCCCAAAAGACTGCTTTCTTCTTAATTGGGATCATACTTCGTATTCACGAGCAAACACAAATCAACATCTACCAATAACATATAGATAGAGAGACAAATTTGATGGGTGGTATATTCGTAGGTTAACGTAGGGCCTACTTCTGGGTGAGAAAGTAATCTATTGCCATTGTCGCCTCAGAGTAGCTGTTATGGTTTTCAAGATTTTCTTGATTCAAGTCACCACTGTTGGATTTTAACGTGATGCAGTATTTCAATAGCAGGGGTGCAATATATTTTTAAATGTTTGTACGGTGATAGAGCTAAACAAATTGTATCAGAAAACATTTTAATGTCTACGCAGTGCAACAGGATGATGCGATTTGATATTAATACTACATTTTAATGTGGTAAGAGTTAAAGGAATTGTGAAAGGGTGTCCGTCAAATTCCTTGCAATGGTAATCCTTTCCGGTTAAAATTATGCACAGAAAGGTTCCCCTCCATTGTGTAATTATTAATCAATGGTTCTTTGCGCCATTTTTCTATGGATGAGAGCGTTTAAAATAAAGTAGTAATCGTATTTGTTCGTGGCAGAAATTCTTGTGTGAATGTACATGAAATTATATATGAAACTACATAAAAAAGCTGAAACAATATGTGTGACGTAATAACACAAGAAAACGTTTAAGTGAGAAAAAAATATGAGCAAATAAGAAAAACTATATCAGGGTCGACACGCAAAACCCTTGGAATCATTATTCAAGAGTATTTACAATAAAATTGTGAGAGATCGTCTTCAGTTTTAAAAAATCATAACTTACAAGGAACAAAATTGCGAAAGCAAACATTTTCTTAAGCCCATTCTTCTCCTATCACAATAGTTCATGGAGTCACAAACTCTTTGAGATGTCAAACACCGACAGACACGACCAGCCAGCTTCCTTATAATTTCTGGAACTCCTGACATATCCCACGTCCAATTTTACCGGACGAAGAATTAAAATTTGTTTCCCGCACTGCTCTGTCTGTCTGTCTGTCTCGAGGCGCATTAGCTTGAAGGCTGGTCTGTTAATATTTATAACGTACCATAGAGATACAGCAAAACGTTGTTTTGTTTTCCGACAGTAGCGACCCTAACGTGTACAATATTAAACCAAATTAACATTCTGCATCAAAACAGTGTGGCTACAGTGGATGCCTCCCCGTCTTGCGTTCTGGAGGTCCTTTTTCTCAACCCGAAGAGTGGATACATTCACTGCCGCTCTGTACAGCATGTCCATGTCTTTTTCCTTTCAATTCTCTATTTTCATATTAAAAGGTAAAGTACTCCCTGTGCCTGAAGTAATTACGTATGGGAGAGTGGGTGTATAAATTCGTGTTCTCTTGACCTCAGCACTAGTTGGAGGTGAGTGGAGAGATTCACGCCCCGGCCGCTTTACTACCAGAGAAGGAGACCCCGGTATCCACTGGATAGGATGCTGTCTGTGCCCTAGAACATTCAAGGCTGACTAGAAGTATGCTTGCATATAAGAGACAAAATCTTCAGATCATTCTGCACAAATTAGCGATTTTTGTCTATCAAAGGAATATCTGCCGCGTTGACGGCTGGTCAGTCGTTTGTGTCATAGTCCCCTGCTCTTCATAGCGTTTCTGTTTAGCGCCTGTGTTTTGTAATCTGTGACTTTTTTCGACGACGCCGAGCTCTCTGTCTTCTATCTTTCGGCGTTGAAATGGTGGCGAAAAATGGGGTATTGCTGTACGGGTCTTCTTTGATGTCTCATATCGTTGTTAATTTTAGGTTAAGTGACTGTGCGTAATAAATTGAACTACAATTTTAAGACTTATTTTTGAGTATTTAAGAATGGTATTACTTTACATTCTAACCAGCGATTCAGATTACAGAAAGTAAAGTAAAGCTATTCCTGTACCAGGCCGTGAAGGCCCATAGGGTTATGAGACGTTGAGGGTCCCACATTATCTAGACAGTCGGCTCAAAGATGGCGGTAAGGTTGTCAGCCCAGTATTATCTACTGGGATATAGCCCCATGAAGTCTGTTGAAAGTCAATCGACGTTTCGGAGGAACACATCGCCTCCATTTTCAGGGTCGAAGAATAAGCCGAGCAAGGTACTAACGTGAAGGCAGGTGGCAGTAGAGTTGCCACCTGCTACATTGCCTTTTATCCAACAAGTAGAACTTTTCGTAACAACTGCTGTGACAACCTCAAATCCAGCTTTGCTTGTATTTGGCGAATTCTTGTAACGAAGGGATACAAAGTGAAATCCCCTCACTTTTTGGCCCCTGCGACTGCACGGATGCCGCAACTGTGAGATGCTACATTCATGTGGTAAAGCGGACAATTAACTACCAAGTTAGAGTGGGGTTTTATTGTACTCAAGAACCCTGCTATTATTATGCCAACCACAGCGGCCGCGCGATCTAAGGCATGAACTGTCTTCGCTCGCTCGAACGCTGGGACCATGGGCTTGAACCTCACTCATGGCATGTGTATGTGTTTATTCTGTCTTTGTGTTAGGTAACGGCCCTGCGACAGGCTGATCACTCGTCCAAGGTGTTCTACCGTCTGTGTAAAAAATTATTACGAAACTGAAGAAGCGGCCCGACAAAGGGCTGTAGAGCCATTGATGGATGAATTATTATTATTATTATTATTGTAAGATTTGAGGCTTTCACGGCGGTGACTATGAAGAAAGCAGTCTTCATTATTATTATTATTATTATTATTATTATCATTATTCATTATGTTTTCTGACAACGTATTCTTGTAATTTTAGTACTGTACTCAATACAAAGCCTAGGTCTCTTCCCCTGAAGTTTTTAAAGCAAAATCTTGACATATTCCACGCATATGATAAGTCCACTTATCTCATTCTGCTTGAAAAATTTTGTCTTTTTGGACGTAACGCTGTGCACTCCGTTGGAAGTCAACCAGAGTTTCGGAGGATCATGTCGCCTCCATCTTCATCGCCGGAGAATAAGCCAAGTAAGGGACGAGCATGAAGCAGGTAGCAAACAAAAGCTCTGTTTATTTCTCCGAAACATCGGTTGACTTTCAGCGGAGTACACGTGCAGTGCGTTATATCCCAGAAGACTGTGAGGTCTGCTCGCTGCCCGCAGGATGCTGCGAGGTGGGTCCCTGGCTTCTGACTGGATGGAAGATACGTCATGCCGCGGCACCACGCACAACTTCAAGGTGGGGATATACGGCTGGCGCAAGAGATGCCTCTACCTGCTCATACTGGGATTGCTGGTCATGGTGATCGTGAACCTTGCCCTCACGCTCTGGGTACTCAAGGTTATGGAATTCTCATCCGTAAGTAAGAAGAAGGAGAGGATGACTCTTCTCGTCTGCCATCTAGAAACTTAAAAACAAAAATATATATATAATTTAGCCTGTAGTTTTGTATGGGCATGAAACTTGGTCTCTTGCATTAAGGGAAGAACAGGGTGGTGAGGCGAATATTTTGACCGAAGAGGGATGAAGTGACAGGAGGTTGTAGAAAACTGTATAATGAGGGGTTTCATAACTTTTATTCTTCGCCAGATATGATTAAGAATGATCAAGTCAAGGAGGATGAGATAGCAGGGCATGTAGCACGAATGGGGGAGAAAAGGAATGCATATAGGGTTTTGTTGGAAAATCCAGAAAGCAAGACGCCATTAGGAGTACTTAGACATAGCTGTAATGATAATACTGAAATGGATCTTAGAGAAGTAGAATTTGGTGGTATGGAGTAAATTCAGCTGGCTAGGGAAAGGAACTAGTGGATTACTGTTTTGAACACGGTAATGAACCTTCGGTTTCCATGAAATACTGGGAAAATCTTGAGCAGCTGTGCGACTGTGGGTTCTTAAGAAGGACTCAACTCCATGGAGATAGTCAGTCAGTCGGTCCGGGACTCTAGGTTGCACGTGACGAGAAGTGAGAAGCAATATAGCAAGAAATGACGGGGCATTGGTTGCAACTGTATTGTTGGGGGTGCTGAGGATGACACATTGTACGTAACTAGGGCCCTTTTACTGCCCACACACGCACTACAATTCTAATCTCAGGAATTACACTTGATCAGATCCATTCACAATTTACTGTAAACGGACATATCTGATAACATAGAGAGTAATGTACTTCAACGAAGAGACGGCGAGGCAAGTGGCGGGGAAAATTGGTCGGCTTTAACCTGACTACTATTCGTATAGGGATGCACTGAGCTTCAATGTACCAGTGGCAAGAGACGCCAGTAAATTATGCTGACGTTTTCAGCTTTTACGTTGCACACGGTCAGGCCTTCGAATTTAGCTAGCCTTCTCTTAGTTGAGGGTAGTGATTTGTACTAGGGAATGTGCTGTAGTATATTTTTGGATTTCGGTTATAAGTCGCGTCGTTTGTTGATGTTTCCCAACATTTCTGCAACTTCACTGTTGCAGTTCGACGCAGCCTGTTTCCGAATGTCAAAGTTACACATTAAATTCCATCAGCGTGAACCTAGGCAACGGTTGAAGATATTATTAAGTTCTATAGTCGTAAACGCAAGAAAAGAAAAATGTTTCTAGATCCGTCTGCATAGCGCGGTTCATGTGGAAACAACTGTGTTATTGTCAAATGTTCGGTCTAACGTAGTCTGTTGACATTTTCGGACACGTGTACACAAAATATTTTCACATCAGCCAAATGTTTAGGTAAAAAAAGTTGTCCCTGTGCTTAACTAATTAAGCACTACACCATGAAGGCGTATTGTGGAGTGGATGTATAGATCCACATTTTCTTGACCTCGACACTAGTTGGGGCGTGGGTGGTCAGCTTCACGCCCTCGCTGCTTTAGCCCCGGGGAAAGAGCCCCCTGCACCCATTGGGTAGGAGGCTGTGTGGGCCCAAGAGCCGGTCTACACGATATGGAGAAGAGAAAATTCTGACCCTACCGGTACTCGAACTTCGACCCCTCTCATGTCCATCCCGTAGCCAGTCGCTATACCAAGTGCGCTACCGCGGGTCCATCAGCCAAATGTTCCCCCCCCCCCTTGGGACTACAGCCCCAGTGGGCCTAGGCCTACCTCCATGAACTTCTCCGTTCACTTCGGTTTTTCTAGATCTTACACATTCGGTAGGACTCCTTGGGCGGGTGATCAGCTCGTCGCAAGGCCTCTACCTGTACACAAACACAAAAACGCGCACACACAAACTAAACATCCATGCCCTGAGTGGGATTCGAACCCACGATCCCGGCTTCCGAGCGAGCGAAGACAGTACATGCCTGAGACCGCTCGGCTACCGTGACCGGCCCCAGCCAAATGTTTAACCGCATAAATTCTGCACTCCTTATATTCTAGCTGTAGCAGTCGAAATTTACTTTTGCCTGAGTTCTGTTCCCGGCAGAGACAGTAATATTCACCTTCGACACCGCTGCGTGCAGACAGACTCTGATATTTTGACGAAACACTCTCGGTTTCTACCACCATTATCTCATTTGCAGAATCACTGTAGATTTCTGTGGCCTAGGTTGTTCTGTTACGCTAATTGAGAGCAAAATTGAATGCTAGACACATTACTACTCACCTTCCTCTTATCGGTACTGCAGGATGTTAAACTACAGAGACAACACAAGACGGAGACACAAACGCTGTTTAAACTCTTTCTTTCCGGTCCCTCGAGGCAACCATTTAGCTAGAGACGAACAAATGACAAGCAAGTTTCGGTATAATTAGGCCCTGAGGCTGATAACGGACGTGACCACAGCGGGTTTGGAGAACAAAACACTGTCAATACAGCTGAACAGCTGGCTTGTTGCTCTAATGCAATTACAATCCAAAGCAAGGCACTTACTAAGAATCCCCGTACACTGTGAACATGTCTCAGAATATATGACGCTCTCGTACATAACTATGGCCCTAGGGGGAGTACCCTGAAGATTATGCCGTATGTAGAATGGATGTCTGCTGTGCTTCGTTCTGGAGATTCCGGCTTCGAATCTCGACCCAATGAGTGGCTACAGGTTGATAAAACGTCATTATATAAACAGATGATGGGATAGGCAGATGTCGCGGCTACACGTTAGCCTAGTACTCGTGAGCTGCTAGGCTGGGCTCTTATCCGGATTAGCAGACTCCGTTACTAAGGTTTTCAGACCCCCTGTGAGGACACCTTGATTGTATCTTGAAATAACCCATCCTCCGGTACTTACCATTCACCATAATCTTCACTTCTGATTCGTAGTTCTGCAGTAGTGTCATCATTACAAAACTAATTGATCATTACTCATTAAATATTCCAACACAAATAATGTATTTTGTGGGTACAATTTCGTTAAGGAAGGAAGCCTTCGTCTTCAAAGAATCAGTGTGCAGCACAATACTTCTTGAGAATCTGATAGTTTCTCAACTGTCCAAAATATTCCCCGCCTTTAATGTAACCAGAAGAATCAATGGTATTATCAAGTGACTATCGACAGGTTTTCGGTTTGGAGATTCGATTTATTGACCACTTTAACAAACGACTCATGACTACACTTAATTACAACGCCATCGCAAATTTAAACAGTACATGGCATTGAGACCAGAAGAATAGATCGGTCAATGTTACATATTCTTCCTAGTTTTCTAGAAGATTCGGCACAACAAAGAAGGGCTGAGATTGATCCGCTGCAAGTCGCTTTGTACACGTAACATAAATATGGAAACACATGAATAATTTGATCACGTTTGTATCCAATTCTGGACAAGACCAGAAATTACAAAATCATAAGCAGCTACTGAATAAATCAACACAACAACTCTATTGAAATATCTTCTCTCTTCGTGTTCAGAAGAGAAACCAGATCAGACTCATACGAGTACATATTACTTTTACTATACCTCTCCAGTCTTCTTGCTTTCTTTCCTTCTTCGTTTATTTCTTCCCTGTAGGCGTATATTTTTCGTTCCTTTAACCATTCAACGTATTTAGATGATGTGGATTATGCTAGACGCCACAGCTATCGTGATGGGGCCGGCATATCCCCACTGCTCAGAACATGTACAGGGTCAATATAAATTGCATATATACGTATATTTTATGCATGTAAAGTACAGGAATAATTTTGATATTAATTAGTAGAGTACACTTGGGAGAATTATCTATCAGTGGACAACTTGTTCACTTTATGAGCCATGGGCGTCGGTAACTATTTGCAGTCAACGTTAAACATTGACTGCCATTCTGCGTAAGGTGCCTGCAGCGATTCTGATAGCAAGCTATCAGAGTTATTCTCTATGGGGGCTGTTCATGAATACATTATCTTTCAGATATCGCCATAGAGGTAATGACAGGGACTGAGATCAGGAGAATGTGGTGTCCAAGACTATCTATAGACAGAATATCCACCAAGATGCTTATTAAAGGCATCCAAAATTGCATTCGCTGTTTGCGATCAAGGCTCATCCTCTTGGAAGAGTGTTTCTTCTGACTGAACACCAGTGCTTTGAGAAACGGAAGAAAGTCTTCAGGAACCTCCAGATAATGATCAGATATCACCGTATAGACGAGAAAAACCGAACATCAAAGATGAGTGGTTAGCACTGGCGAGTCATATTCTGGAGAATCCAGGTTCAAAGCTTATCCCAGAGACTACAGAATTGTCGTTGTTGTTTTTATCGTCTCCGGGAAGATGGTAGGATTGTACCTTGAAGTAGGATATAACACTTGTCACATCCATTCCTTTGCGTTATATACTAATCAGCCGGTCACTTCACGCTATACTATAAGCCCTATGAACTCAGGAATTGAAAACATCGTTAAATGAAACGGTAGTAAGTAAAATGAAACACGCCAAACATGCAAAGAGACGATGTAATGTACGTAATAGCCGGTCACGGTAGCCGAGCGGTCTAAGGCATGCACTGTCTTCGCTCGCTCGGAAGCCGGGATCGTGGGTTCGAATCCCATTCAGGGCATGGATGTTTCTGTGCGTTTTCTGTGTTTGTCTACAGGTAGAGGCCTGGCGACGAGCGGATCACTCGCCCAAGAAGTCCTACCGTATGTGTAAGATCTAGAAAAACCGAAGTGAACGGAGTTCATGGAGGTAGGCCTAGGCCCACTGGGGCTGTAGTGCCAAGGAAAAAAAAATGTATGTAATTGGGTGAGTCATGCAGTTTCCTCATGGAAATAACATAGTCATTGATATCGCATAAACTGGAAGCCTTCAGTCTTCCCTCAGATAACTTCTCCTGAAAAATAATTACCCTGATTCCGAACCATTGTCCTCTTTTCTCAGCTCTAGTTTAAAAAATCCTGGGTTAGATGGCGACTGTGTTTCCATGCAGATCGATTTACAGCATGTTCTT